CCAGATCTCGTCACGGAGCTTACGCCTGAAGACGAGGGCTTCCTGGAACGAGGCAAACGCAGCGGCGCTTACTACCCATATCCGAACTTTGGCTGGACAGCGCCACTCGAGGATCTCAACTGCCTCTCACCCGACAATGACATGGCACTCAAGCAGCGCTTTGACGAAGCGTATTGCGCCAAGCGCGGTCACGTCTACTGTGACAGCTTCCCGATGCGCGCCGTCCTCCGGTTCGGGCTCATCAATGCGACGTACAGCACAAGCAGCCGGATTGCGAGCGCCTCGCTTCACGCAACCTTCTTTGACGTCCCGATGACCAACTCGTCAACGCTGACCGATTTTTGCGGCCACGTGACGTCAATTGTGTTGGCGGCCGAGCCAACTTTGAGCGCGCTCTGCGAAGGCTGCCAACGGACGCGCGAGACGTCTGCGCTTGGCGACTGGATCGACGACAACTGCGTACGCAATACGTGGGTCGATGGTCTCTCGACGTTTTGCATCTTTTACCGCAGTCAAAAGATCTACCCGGAGCTGAGCCCCGCGTGCCGGTACGCTATGATGAAGCCGAGATTCGACACGACGTTCGCGGACGTATGCTACCACACGACCTTTCCCGCCAAGGTCCAACGTGATGCGAATGCGCTGGCGGCCACGGCGGTGGCGCTGGGCGTGGTGAGCTTCGTCCTTGCCTCGGTGCTCTGTTTCCTCCAATGTTCTCGGGACTCGGTCGACGAAGAAGACGATTTGATGTATGGAGCCTTGTGCGACGCAGAACGTGCGGCAACGGATAGCGTTAGTGGAGATGTTGTGCCATGAACAATAAGAACATGATATAATGTCGTGGGTCCAGTAGTCCACACTATATGTCATAGTACGAGCAGGGGTAGTACCATGTTCCCATGAGGACGAGTTCGAGCAAGACAGGAAACTCGCACGACGGTATAGTTGCTGTTAGCACGTAGTAATGTAGCTCTGTTGATCGGGTCTTCCCTCGACGCACTCAAACACTGCCGGCTTCCTTGCAATCAAGTATGGGTTCTGTGAAGTGCAAAGTCGACAGGTTGCGCCAGAGAGGGCCAAGCCGACCCGAGTTCAGCATGTCGCCCTCACACCTCAGAAGCGTGGCTGAGTGATTGCATCCAGCATCATGTTGGTGCCTGCAGAGGGGCTCTTGCTTTGTCCATGGTACTTTAGCCAGTCGAAATCCAACTAAAAACGCGTTTTTGTCACCGCGAGTCACACATTGCCACGTCACGCCAGCGTGCACTCCCACTCTCTTGCCACCAATCGCGGCGCCGTGGTGTAGCACAACACAACGGCAACAAGAACGCCTCTGCAGCTTACCGCCAAGGACCACAGGAATTGCAATGCCCAAACACCACTCGCTTGTTTCTGTCCCATCAAACATCGTCGCCAACACTTTGACCAAGTTCAACATGATTGTCGCCCGCCCAAAAGCAGCCAAAGTTGCGATCTTTTGCGTACATTCATTGTACACTGCATACCATTTCAATACAAACATCAAATATAAAGTCGTCCACTTGGCGTACATTCGTCGCCGTACGTACGACACGCGTGGTTTACCGTGCCTCCTGGCGGGCCCATCTGCTTCCTACTGACTTGCGTTTTGTATGGGTGTTGCATCCCAGCTGGGCGCGGAATTTCCCTTGGTGTTTGTATGGGGTGACCGTTTTATCTCGTTTTTTGTATGTCACCCGACGGGGAACCTTCTCTGGGCCAATGTATGGCGGTCGAGTGACGGCGAGTCCACTTGGGGTTTGTATGGTCGACAGGCGTTTCAAAGCACCTTGATGTTTGTATGCCGATTGCCAAGCATACAAAACGCAAGAGGCCGACATATGCGCAATCATTGCGATCTTAGCGCACCGAGTTCGAATTTTGGGCCAGTTGGCAATTTGCAGCATGAAGATCATCGACAAGATCCGTGCCAAGCTCGAGAAGGACGAGACGTTCTACTCGTTCGAGTACTTCCCGCCCAAGACGCAGGCCGGCGTGACGAACCTCTACTCGCGCATCGACTGCATGGCGCAGATGGACCCGCTCTTCTGCGATATGACGTGGGGCGCCGGCGGCTCCACGGACAAGCTCACGCTCGAGATCAGCGCCAACGTGCAAAAGTTCTCGGGCCTCGAGATGCTCATGCACCTCACGTGCACCAACATGAGCCGCGGCAGCATCAAGAACGCGCTCGACGCAGCGAAAGACGCCGGGATCCAAAACATCCTCGCGCTGCGTGGCGACCCGCCGCGCGGCAAGACGACGTTTGAAGAGTGTGACGGCGGCTTCTCGTATGCGCTCGACCTCGTCAAGTACATTCGCCAAGAGTTTGGCGACTACTTTTGCATCGCGGTCGCCGGGTACCCGGAGGGCCACCCGGACTCGACCGACCTCGAGCAGGACCTGCGCTACCTCAAGGAAAAGGTCGACGCGGGCGCCGACTTTATCGTCTCGCAGCTCTTTTACGACGCCAAGATCTTTCTCGGTTTCGTCGAGCGGTGTCGGGCGATTGGCATCACGTGTCCGATTCTGCCGGGCATCATGCCCATCCAGAGCTACCTCGGGTTCACGCGCATGAGCGCCATGTGCTGCAAGACGATCCCGGCCGCGATCCACGAAGCACTCGCGCCCATCAAGGACAACGACGAGGCGGTCAAGGACTATGGCGTCACGCTCGGCATCCAAATGTGCAAGGAGCTCCTCGAAGCCGGCGTCGCCGGCCTCCACATGTACACGCTCAACCTCGAGCGCTCGACGCGACTGATCCTGGAGGGCCTCGATCTGATCTCGTCGGCGCGCCGCGAGCTGCCGTGGCGGCCGTCGACCATGATCAAGCGCGTGTCCGAGTCGGTGCGCCCGATTTTCTGGGCCAACCGTCCGAAGAGCTACCTCGACCGCACGTCGAGCTGGGACGAGTTCCCCAACGGCCGCTGGGGCGCGTCCGAGTCGCCGGCGTTTGGCGACCTCAGCGAGTCGCACTACATGCACGCGACGCATTCGGTCGCGGACCGCAAGGCCATGTGGGGGGACGCGCTGACGTCGCTCGACGACATTTACGAGACGTTTACGCGCTACTGCATGGGCGCGCTCAAGAGTCTGCCGTGGTGCGACACGCCGCTGCACCTCGAGACCAAGTCGATCCAAGAGCTGCTCGCGGGCCTCAACCGCGCCGGCTTCCTCACCATCAACTCGCAGCCGCGCGTGAACGCGGCGCCGTCGGACGACCCGATGTTTGGCTGGGGCGGGCCGGGCGGCCGCGTCTACCAAAAGGCGTACGTCGAGTGCTTTGTGTCGCCGGCCAACCTCAAGCACATCATCGAGAAGGTCTCGAAGCTCAAGTGGGTCCAGTACCACGCGGTCGACGTGCACGGCAACTCGTACTCGAACGTCGGCAAGGGCACGACCGCCGTCACGTGGGGCTCATTCCCGAACAAGGAGATTTTGCAGCCGACGATCGTCGACACGGACTCGTTCATGGCCTGGAAGGACGAGGCGTTTAGCCTCTGGCTCTCGATGTGGGCGTCGCTCTACGCCCCCGACTCGACCTCGTACGGTCTCCTCAAGGAGGTCCACGACACGTTCTTCCTCGTCTCGATCGTCGACAACAACTTTGTCAACGGCAACATCTGGGACGTCTTTGAGCAAACGACGACCGACGCGGCAACGACGCCTTAAGTGGCCTCGCACCCCGCTCGCTCGCAGCTCTTTCCTCTAAGTATATACATGCATGTATCGTGTGTCCACGGCCCGCTTGTGCCCGTGGACGGCTCCATCATCCTTCGTGTGCGTGTTCGAGTAAAGCTCCCATCGCCAACGGTGGCGAGCAGCAAGGTCATCGCACTGGCCATCCAATATGCAGCGTCATGAGTACGGTGTAGTGTGTTGCGGCTACGTGGCGATCGTGGACTCTGCATGCGTCCATGGGCATGGTGGTCGGTGCGTAGGTGGCTGGACCAGCCGCGACCATCCCGCCATCTGTCCTTGGCCTCTTAGAGAGACCGCATGTAGCGCGCGGCCACATGAGCGCCACTGCTCGCGGACTGGTCTCGTTGGCGGCGACGTCGCCGGCAGTTCCAAGGCGGTAGAGCCGTGGAAAGCGAAAATGGCGTGTATTATAAAAGGCAGGCACGCGAAAATAAAATAAATTTCGTTCTGTTGATCACTCTTTTTCTATGTGACATTGGATGTTTCCATAAAAACCGCGTCGACATGGGCGACCCGAATAAAATTCCACTCGTTGGGACCACAAGCGTGAGGACGACCGAGATGCGATCGAATGCATGGTCCTTGGTAATGACGCGTGGCCGCATGGCATGGGCGTCGGCGACGGCTCATGGCATCTGCATCTACCTCTAGGGCGAGGTCACGCGGCTAGAGTACCGCGTCTTCGGTCCCAGCGGCGACCGCGGCTTGCACGCGCGCTTGCTGACGTGGGCGGACAGCGACCACCGGCGGCCGCTGCTCGTGAGCGTCGCTGACGACCACGTCTGGTCCTTCACCGTCAACTTTCAAGATACGCCGCACGTCGTACCCTCCGAGTTTGATGGACTCGGTACGCCGTGGCCCGCGACATGAGGATGATGGTGCTCATCGCGATTGTAGAGACCCGCGCCGGCGCGTGGACGCCCGATATTGAACGAGACGACGACGTCCTGCGCATGTTTGAAGCTGCGATTGAGCGGCAGCTGCGGGCGTGGTTCTTGCAGCAGGCGCGGGTCGCGTGGTCGGGCGCTCTCGATGCGTCGGGCGTCCCTGCGTTTCGCGCCGAGGCCGACTACCTCGTGTCGACCGAGCCCCAGTTCACGTTCCGAACGCTCTCAGCGAACCGCGAAAACACGTGGGAGACGCACGTCGATGCGGACGTCCCGACACCGGCGTTCCAGATCCAGGCCACGCTCTCGCGGTCGAACGCTGTGTGGGTGCATGTCGTCGTCTTCCGCAAGGCGCTGCTGTCGACCGCCCATGGCTTGGAGTACCCGCGCATGCTCTGGAAGCGACTGCAGGCGCTGCCGTGCGAAGGGTTTGGCGCCGAGAGCATCATCGACGTCTGGACGATGCGGGACGTCAGCGTCACGGGCGTGTTGGCCGCAACCCCGACGCCAATCATCGTCGAGAAAGACCGATTCCGCGTGGCCAAGCGCCCGCGCATGACCAAGCTGTCGTCTGAGAGCCAAGCGAGCAGCCCGGAGCGACCGCCGCCCTTCTCGCCGAATGCGCTCGACCCCAAGCGGCCAAAACTTCCGGCGTCGCAGTCGACGTCGCCGTCGCAGCAGCACACCACCGACGACGTACGTACATGGGTCGATGCGACTGTGTCTTGATCGTCTGTTGGTGTAGGAGGCGCTCACGCCCATCTCGCCCGACCTCGGCGTCAAGCACGAGCTGCTCTGCGTCGACTTTGCGGGCGTGGGCACCGACGCGCCACTGCACAGAAGCCGGCGTGTGCACGCGTTCGTGCCGAGCGCCAAGACCAAGTCGAAAGCCAAAGTAGAGGCCAAGCGAGTCGTGAGAAAGAAGAGTGCGTGGCGAATGCTGCTGCGTGTGCCCAAGGACCTCCCGAAAGGCGGCAACAACGACGAGAGTGAGTACTACAGCACCGCCGACGAAGCCGACAGCGTCGTGCCGCTGCCGCTGCCGCCGCGCCCGGTCGCCGTCACCGACCCGATGCTACTCACGCTCGCGACGACGGTTGCGAAGGAAATGCACACCGAGACGGCGGACACGAGCGCCAAGCCAGCGCTTCTTCGCGTCGCACCGGCGTATGCCTCGACGTCTGCAGAGGACGACGAGCGACGGTACCTGCCAGTAGGGACGATGCCGTACAACGTCCCGGGCTTGGCGGGACCGTCATCCGTCAAAACCTCTGTCGTGCCGCCAAGTACGGTGGTGGCGCTCCCGTTCTCGACAACACCCCGAGCGGATATGACGCTCGGTCTCCGATTACTCGCCAAAGACGCGTTGGTGGGGTGGAAGCTCAATCCGTCGAGCTGGATCCCGCCGGCCCCGCGCGGCCTCGCGGCGAGCGACAGCGCCCAGCGGCAGCGCTTCTTGACCCACTCGGTCGCCGCGCACGTTGACGCGTTCGCCGCACGCATGCTCGTGTCGCCAGCATCCTGGCTCGGACCGGACGCGGTCTGCGGCGCGTCCACGAATACGCTGCGCGGAAGGATACCCGATGTGCACGTGGCCAAGGCCGAGACCGTCCTCTCATTGCCCCCGCACCTGTTGCCCGAGTGGCCGCTGCGCGGCTTTGCACCGCTCGGACCGATGAAGAACGTCGACTATGTCGTGCTCTGCCCCGACGCGCCGTGGCTGGCAAACCGGACGACGTCGCACGTCGCGTCAGTGCGCACGGCGTACATGAACCTCTCGCTGGGCGACCACGAGCCGCTCGAGCTCGCGGGGCGCTGGAGTGTTTCGACCGACGTGATTGGCGCCGACCTCGACACTGCCATTTTGCTACTGCGCAAGTCGCCGGGCGATGCGTTCCACACGTATACCGCAGCGGCTAGCCATCTCACGCGCATCCTCGCCGACGGCCCGACGACCCAAGCCTTTGCGCGCACGGCGATCGCGACCGTCGTGTATGTGGTCGCACCGTTTGGCCGGGACGAGGTCCCCTTGGCCGCGCGGCTTCTCAGCGCGGTGGCCTCAGGTCTCTTTCCCGGTGACGTGCCCGGCGACTGGCAAGCCGGCGTCGTCCTCGAGCTCTTGTACTTGCCGGACGTTCTGGCGCCGCCCACGCCACTGGCGTTTGCCGACCACGCATTTGCGCTCTACGACAAAATTTACGAAAAAGTCCCGCTGCAGTACGATACAATGGCCGTCTCGTCAGGTCCCAAGCCGCTCACGAGCCACGTCAACGAAAAGCTGTTTGCGCTCGCAACCTCGGACCACTGCTGCGACGCGTTCCTTGGGTACGCGCTCGTCGACTCGACGCTTGTCTACTCGCTCGTGGACGCCAACGGATCGCTCATGGACGTCGACGTTCAAACTACGTCGTCGGCCAGCTTAAGTGCCGAAGACATGGCGATGCTGCTGTCCAAGGCGCTGGCCTTCTACGTTCTTAGCCGCGACACGTCGAGCAAGACCAGTCGGGGTGTCTTGTGCATTACTAAAGTCGGCGCGCCGCTCGCATCCGACGAAGCCGCGCTCTGGAGTCGTGTGTGGGCGTCCGAGCTCGCGGGCGGCCTTGCCAAGTACGCGTCATCGGTGCGTCGCTGCCTCGTCAGCAGCCTCGTACCTGCACCCGAGCTGCAGATGCACATGCTGGATGCAAGAGGCGAGAACGTGCAGACCATGCTTGCGGCCGGCGCGACGCGAGGCCTCCTCGTTGTGAGTCCCGTGGATGTCGCCCCAGGTACAGCCCTCTTCCAGTTAGGGAACACAGTGTTGACGCACCCGATGTAGGCAATGGCACGTGCCGCGTGGGCCAAGACCCGTCGCTTCTGGCAGTCGCGCTGGCTACCGACGGGCGCGCCGACATTGTCTTGGTCGTCACGATCGACGCGACGCTGCCGAGTCCCGAGGCGGACGACACGGGCGACGATGGCAGCGGCGAGGAAGGCGAGGCCGACGGCGTCGTTGGGCCGCTCCTCCGGCAGCTGCAAGACCATACGTGGCTGAGTGTCGACCCGATCTCAGGCCGAAAGCAGTCGCCGTACCCGCGCCACGCCGGCGCCGTCGCCCACATGGTGCGCCTCGTGCACGGTGTACGATGAGCAGCCGCTAACTCAATACACGTCGTATATCCTCCACAAGATAGCACTAAGTCTGTATAAACGAACGAGGGTTAGGGTCGGTAGCATTTAGAGCAGATGCGACTTGCGGAGTTCGTTGTACTTTTTGTAGACAAATGAGCCGGCGCCGAGGAGACCGGCAAAGAGGATGAAGAACGGCAGCTTCCAGCCCGTGGACGCCTCGACCTTCTCGTTGACCTTGGCGTGCAGCGCCGACTCGACGTCGCCGGCCACGTCGCGCGTCGACGCGTCGAGCTTGGTGTTGAGGTACTGCTCGAGGCGCTCTGTGAGCTCGGCGATCTTGCCCTGGTTGACAGCTTCGCGGGCCGCGACCTTCGAGAGCGAGTTGCGCGTCTTCTCCGTGAGCGACACCATGGTGTGTTCGTTGTCGACCTTGACGTTCGCGAGCGCCTTCTCGAGGATGATGAGCTTGCAGCTCTGGTCGCAGTGCTCCGAGTTGAGGATGCTGTTGTGCTCCTTCGAGTAGTTGTTCCAGTACACGTCGCTGTCGGTGAGCTGCATCTCAATGTCGTTCGGCTCCGAGAACGACAGGAAGCTCAGCACGTCGTGGTTGTCGGCGAGGCCGCCCGTCGAGCCCGTGAGGCCGACGCGCGCTGTCTCGAGCCAGTTGGCCGGCAACGGCAGCTGGCCTTCGTAGCACGCGGTCCACTCGGCCTTGGATTTCGGGTCGATCTCGACCTTGATGTTGTTGCGCTCGATCGTGAGGCGCAGGCGCGACGCCGAGTAGACCGCGTCAAACTCGTCGCTGTCTTCGTGGTACCGGAACGCCCCGTCGCAGCCGATCTTGGTCTCGTCCTGGAGCGTCGCAAGCGTCTTGGTGCCATCGTTGATCTGGATCGTCACATCCTTGTGGCCGCCCTTGTGCTCCGGGTTCACAAACGTGTCGATGACAATGCCCACGCCGTTGAAGGCCGCGTCGATGCCATGGTTGGAGCCACGGACGTACGGCGACGTCGTGAGCCAGAGGCCAATGCCATCACCAAACCACTTTTTGCCCGTGCCAGAGATGCGGAACTGCATGACAGCCGAGAACGAGTCGCGGCCTAGCGCGTCGCGGCTCCAGACGTGGCCGTTGCGGTTCTGGCGGTCCGGCGTCAAGCGCACAAAGCTCTTCATGACCTCGGCCGTCCCGCCGGTCGTCCACGTGTCGTTGATGAACCGGACGCCTTGGTAGTCGACCTTGGTAAACGGTGGCCGGAACGAGTGGCTCTGCAGCGCGACGCCCGACGCGAGGCCGACGATGGCGGCGAGGAGCACCAGTAGTCGCAGCATCTTGCTTCACAAATGGAAATGGTCATCCGCAGCCATGGTGCTCGTTTCGGCGTATCCTGCCGAATTTCATCTTGAAATTCGGACTTTCCCGAAACTCAACGCCGCCTGGTTAATTGACCGCGTGGCAACGCACTGCGCGTTTGTATGCTCTGCGTTTGTAACATATCCCGGGGATTTTGCGCACACCGTTGGATAAAAACACGCCACTCCGTCTCTACCACGACGCCAAGATGGCGGCTACGGCAGGCAACACTGCACAGACGGCGGCGTCACGCAATGTACGACCGCATTGGATCTCTACAACGCCCACCTTACGAATGCAATGGGATGCACTTTGAATACGGTTGACGGACGTATGGATCCTGTTGTAGGGCAGGCGACAAGGGATGCTGACGAGCATGAATGACATTGCACCATCCACAAGCACGCTCTGTTTACTCGTTGCACAGCACATTGATAGCGAGGAAGGAAGGCTTTGCATCGAGGCTCGCTAGGTCCAAGACGGCTGCTGAGCCGGTGTCGACCCACGATCCGCGACGGTAGAGTTGCGTGCGCCTAGACCGCGTCAATGGTGGCACGGTTGAAAATCGGACTTGTCCGGATAAAATCTGACAAAATAATACGGAACACGTGGCATCGCAACGTGTGGCCGTCCCTGCTATAAAATGCGATCGACCGGAATAAAAATACGCAGCATCCGGATACGGTGACGGAGGCGGTCGAGGTCATTTTGGGTTTGACGATTTGCCATGCTCAAGCACCTTGTCGCGTGGGCGCTCGTGCTGGCGACGGCCGTCGTCAGCAGCGCCAAGATGGAAGAGCTCTCGTTCGGCGGGCCCTTTGACAAGATCGACGCCAACGGCCAGCGCTACGTGAACGGCTCGTGGATTCACGGTGGCTCGACCGAGGTCAAGAAGGGCTTTGTGCGCCTCACGCCCGACCGCCAGAGCAAGAAGGGCTACCTCTGGAACAACGTGCTCATCAACCGCGAGAGCTTCTCGACGATCCTCACCTTTCGCATCTCGGGCCAAGGCAAAAAGTGGTTTGGCGATGGCATTGGTCTCTGGATCACGACAAGCCAAAACTACGTGTTTGGCGACAACCACGGCTTCACGGCCGACTTTACTGGCATCGGCATCATCCTCGACACGTTCGCCAACCCGGAGCACAAGGGCGGCCACAAGGACGTGTCGATCCAGATCAACGATGGCACCAAGACCCTCGACATGCTCAACGACGAGACCAAGATTGGCTGCGACGCGGCCGTGCGCTACTACGAAGAGAGCGCGTCGTTCAACCCGGTGCACAGCGCGGGTCGCCTCAAGGTCAAGATTGACCAGAACCGCCTGCGCATCGATGTGGACGCGACCAACCAGGGCGCGTGGACGCGCTGTTACGAAGGCGAGCTTCCGCTGCCGGCGGGCTGGCTCTCGCGCTCGACCGTGGGCATTTCTTCGGCGACGGGCGGCGTCGCCGACAACCACGATGTGCTGCAGCTGGCGTCGTACGAGATGCCGGACGACCCGGCCATGTCGCAGGCCGACTCGGACACGCTCATGCACAACCTGTCCAAGGACTACAAAAAGTGGCTCACGGACCCGTCGTGCCAGACGGACTGCAAGATTGCAGTCTTGACCAAGGAGATTGACAACTTCCGCCTCGAGTCGGAGCACAAGCTCACCGACTTGAAGGAGAAGACGGCGAACACGATCGCCAAGCTCCGCGCGCAAGAGCAGGCCAACGAAGACCGCATCCAGACCATCTACCAGAAGATCACGAGCATCGTCGATAGCTCGCTCGACCGCCGCGTGGCCGACCACGCCAACCACGTCAAGGCCAAGATCGACGAAAAGGTCAAGAACGCGCCGACGGACGGCAGCTGGAAGGGCCCGTTTGTCATCCTCATTGTCGTGCTCGGCGCGGGCGGCGCGCTCGGCTACAAAAAGTACCAAGAGTTGCGCAAGAGCCATTTGCTTTAGACTAAGAAATCCTTCCGTACAGTACTGGTGCCCCTTTGACTCCCGCAATGCACGGTGGTCTGTTGTATCGGAGAAACCGTTGCGCCGCCCGACCACGAGCTTCGAGCAAACTGCAAACTCAGCGTTCAAGCATCCGACTAGTATGCACGGGACTGCTGCA